CTCTGCCGTCGGTTCCCCCCCCCCCCCCCCCTCTCTTCGAACCTGCTCGCCACCACCTTCCTCGGGCCCCTCTTGACCTCTCCCTTGCTGCCCCGTGGCCGCCGGCCTCCCCTCCAGCTCTCGCGCCGCGCCGCCCTTTTCGCCGCCGCGCAGCGCCGCCGCGCGAGCAACACCGGCGACCATCGGCCTCCGCGCCCAATGCGTGTGCGTCGCAACACCACACCGATTCGATCGAACCATAGCCCGCGCCCTCTTTTTCCCTCCCATCGCGTATCCACGTCGGCAATCCGGCGAGCTTCGCCACCGTCGCCGGCCGCCGTCGCGCCCCTTCTCTCCGATCTGATCCGTGGAACCGATTCCCCGCCTCCTCCTCTCGCTTCCAGTGCCTGCCGCCCACTCCGATTCGCCGCCGTTCGCCGGAGCGCGCCGAGCGCCGTCGGCCGTCCGATGAGCCGCCCGGCCTCCTCTCCCTTCCCTGTCCGACGTGGCGTCCACGTGGACGCCACCTCAGCCGCTGACCCCACCAGACCAAGTCAACCCCTGCCCAGTCAGCCACCCCCCTTCTCTCTCCCCGTTCGTGGGCCTGGCCCATCGACCAGCTCCCCCTCCTCGGCCCATTGAAACAAAGGAAGTCCATTTTTACTCCCTCCGCCAAACACAATGACCAAAAGTCTATATATGCTCCCTCCCAATTCACCTCTCTCTCACCATATGTTGGCCCCACATGTCAATGAGTGATAAAAGGGTATTCTTGAGAATATTCATTTCCATAAATGCAATAAATCATATCTCCTGCTCCATAAAACATTTCCTATATTCCAAATTCCATAAAATCCTTCCTCTTAATCCGGGGATTTCAATAATTCAACCCATTGGTCCTGCATGTTAGTGACTGTCAATAATACTCTTGAGAATATTATTTCTATAAATTCTATAAGCCATTTCTCGTACTCCAAAAAAATCCGATAGATCATTTCCTTGTCCAGAAATCCAATTAAGCTTCCAAAATCCATATCTCCTCAACCGCTCGACCGATTGACTCCGTTCTACTTCCAGTAGTTCCGTAAAATTGAGATCTATTTAATGTCACTATTAATTAGTCTAAATAGGATCTTTCTTTTGGTCTTTTGGTTAGGTTTTTGATTGTTTGCGTATAGTTGCGGTTACCAGATTTTCATCAAGCGGATTTCTTGAAGATTCGTGAAGATCAAGACCCTGAGCAAGGCAAGCCACCTTTGAACATATTGAGCCTATATTTGAACTTAATTATATTGCTTGCAAAATATTATGCATTGATAGGATTGCAATTAATATGTTGCCCCGTCTGCGAGGCAGATCGGTGGGCATACCTAACTTGTTGCATTTGATCCTTCCATTGTTAATTGCTATATCATGTTTCCTTGTAACCACCTGGTCGCGCCTCGGTATTCGTGCACTCTATGCGAGTATCGACGGTCGCCTTCAAACTTAAAATATGATAAACATCTTGGGTAAAACTTGGTTTACAAAACGATTGGGAAACCCGACGCCTGGGTCGGTGCCTTGTGAAAGAAAATGAGCTTTAAAAATAAAACTCGCGACACAAGACCATTCCTGGGCGGGAAGCTTGTGCGGTCGCATTTAAGGGCCGATTCCTTCGGAATTACATCCGAGCATATAATAGTACAACCACATGGGTGGAATGGGACACCCCTGGCTGAGTAATTAGCTAATCAGGGGAGCCTTGATGCCGAGAGACAAGTGGATTCGCCGGGGTGGTGTCGGGGAGGACCCCTGGTCTTCCTGGCACAGTATGGTCTGGGACCTAACCTGTTGTTGGTCTGGGACCCCTCTCGTCGGCATATGGTAAACCTGTGTCGGCTTTGGAAATGCCTTGTCATGAAAGCTTGGAGGTCTCCCGACGTGGCTGATCCCCACGGGCTGGGTGATCCGGGTTAGTAATGCCGTGTGGGTAAAGTGTACCCCCTCTGCAGAGGTTATCAAACTGTTCGAACAGCCGTGCCCACGGTCATGGGCAGATGTGAGGTGATTCCTTAGCGTAGTTTTCGTTTTACCCTGCTTTGTGAAAAGGTGTTAAGGTCTGGGAAACCTGATTTTTGGAAAGCAAGTGGCTGTCAGGGAGACAGCGGGACAGGGAGTCCTTGAAAGTGATTGGTTGTTTGGAGACGACCTAACTCTGAAAGTTTGGAAAATTGGTTTGGTTTGGGAAACCAGCTTCGAGGCCAACTCTGGGAGTTGTGCAAATCTTGATAAATAAATTTGGTCACTTCTCACCCCCCTCCCCGACCAAGCTGAGACTTGTCTCGCTCTGGTTGTGGAAAGCACACACTTAGATTGTTGAAAACTTGCAAATAAAATTGATTGAAAAATAACAGCCTTCCCTTGAAGCTTGCATTAACCACCTAAGTTCCCATGGCTTGCTGAGTACGTAAGTACTCACCCTTGCTCTCTATATAAATATAGTTCTGCCAGCTCTGAAGATGAAGTTGAAGCAAAGATTAGGGTTTCGTCCTAGTTCCCAGCCGTCCCCTGTGGTGTTGAGTGTTAGTCCGTTGTTTCCGCTGCTGCTGCCGTTGTTGGTGTTGCCTCGTCCGTGTCGTCGGTTGTAATCTCGGGCTGTCCTGAGTTGCAACCTAAGTTAAGGTAAATAAGTCCTCTATTTATTCTAAGGATTGCAATGATTCATATTTGTCACTGTGGGTACCGGCGCTATGTCCTGGGACTGGTACTGAGATCGCGGTTTCGTAGGAAGCGGTTCGCGCCGTTTTTCCTACGACACGCTCTAATCAGGTGCCGCTGTACGGCGGTGCCGGATTGGGGTGTGACAATATTTTGTTTTCAATTTTTCTCCTTTATTTTTTTCGAATCAAAACATCACGTCAATGCCATGTGGGATGAGGACCTAGTCAAAAGGAACCACGTATGTGCCACGTCATCCAAAACCGGTCACAATATTGCCGAGGGACCTCTTCTGCATGGTTTTGTAAGTTGAGGGATGTGTTGTAACCGGTTTTGAGGATGAAAATTAGGCTGGGTGACAAATTGAGGAACCTAGAGTGAACTTATTCCACAAACACCGAAGATACCTTCGTTTTCACTGGTATGAGTTCGCTCGGTCCAGCCCAATTAAAATTGTGGGCTTTACTCCGCGAAGATTTGCTACGCTTAATTTCGTTTTGGACCCCGTGTTTCATCACGAAGGCCAGCCTATTTGGAGCACAGCTTTAGTAAGGCAAAGTCAGTCCACTTTATCTCCCTCTAATATTGGTCCAAACTTATCCGTATCCCCCAACCGCAACATCAGATATCTTGGCTCTAACTATTGAAGCCGGTGCAAAATAGCTTCCCGGGTGGTTTTGTGAGCGATTTCCGTTGACTTGGCCCGTTGAATTTGATCCAACTAGCTGAGTCAACATATGAGGGGCACGCATGGTCAGTGTCTCATCCTTCTCTTTCTTTTCTCTCTCTCCTCCCTCATCTTCCTCTCTCCACATGTTCTCTCTGCAAACAGCCCCTTGCATCTCCAACCCTCCTCCATGGCAGCTGATGAGGAGGATGTGGTGGTCTAGCCAGGGAGCTAGCAGGGCCGAGACGATGGGCTCATGTGTGGAAGGGGTCGACAACAGGATCTGGCGCCATCTCCATTTGTGGCCGACGGGAAAGGAACAACGCATCTCATCGGGTGGTGTCGGCTAGACCAGGATTAACTCTCTACCGCTCCCAGACCTACCGACGAGCGTGGACAGGAAGCCGTGGCTATCTGCAGTGCGCAAAGTCAGCGCAGCGGGTATAGCGCAGGAATGACCAGACCAGGTGTAACTCCTGGTTGCTCCCACACCTGTCGACGAGCGCCGGGAGGAAGGTAGGATGCCACTTTGTTCCCTTGTCGCTATCTCGCTAGGTGCCTTTCACCAGGCGCGCATACTGATGGGTGCGGCACGGGGGGGGGGGGAGGTGGTGCCGGCCGCAAGGGGGAGGATCTCAAGCGGCGAGACCCTCCATCGACGATGCGGAGCCGGGACGAGGAGTGGCGGCTTGGAGCATGCTCCCCATCTCCCCCAATGCCTTCCACCATGCCATCTTTGTCTCCGCCGCTGGAATCGTCCTGCTCCATGCCATAACTCCTCATCGAGGCACCGCTTGATGCGGAAGGCTTTGTGCTGTCGCCCTGCGGCCACCCTCTGCACGTGTACCCCTCTGCTACCGCCAAGAAAACATGGGGGGAGAGAGAGAGGGGTTATAGAAGGAAGGAGAGAGAGAGAGCAAGGGAAGTGTGGCTGGTGAGTCATATTTTATTTTTTATTTTGTTTGACGACTAGGATGACACGTGGATGTCACATCAACAAATACCACTATCAATTTTATCATAGAGTTAAATAGTAATGGTTTCAATTGTTACGGGGGTCAAGATTTCTAATATTGTGGTTGAGAGGTACAAGTTAGATTGGACCCTTATTTGAGGGACTCAATCTAGACTTATTTCTAAGGAAAATCCATCCAAAAATTTTAAGCTCTATCTAGACTGTGCTCAAGGAGATCACATATGGGCCAACAAGGCTTCGGTTGGTACCCCAAACTAAGATGTAAGCATTTTCCAGCGCTGCACGCCGTTAATCCCCCCCCCCCGCCCCCGCACGCGCTGTAGCTTGTGGATGCCTCGTGCCTGGCATAAACTGCTATCAAAGTGACATCATCGATGGGGCATTCCGGTGACGCACAAGTCATGACGCATTTGATAGTAGTAGGTACTTTAACTAAAATAAATAACTGATCGTATAGTAGCTAACCGTTGACCACAGATGACCTATACTAGCCCGTCACAGATGAGTCATCTGTGACGGGCTATAGTTAATGCCCGTCACAGATAAGGGTCATCTGTGACGGACGCTAGTTGTGGCCCGATTGAGATAGGTCATCTGTGACGGGCTATAGTTTGACTGGTCGTCTGGGTCAAAGCTATCGGTGACGGGCTTTACTTAGGGCCCGATTGAGATAGAATCATCCGTGACGGCCGTTTGCCCGATTGAGATAGCTCTTCACATCAGTGACTTCTAGCCTGTGACGGACGCCATGCCCGATTGAGATGAGGCTTACCGCCCGATTGAGATGAGGGTATCCGTTATAGTGGTTGTATTAAATGATCCATTTTTCTAGCTTCGCTTCGGGCTACTAAATTGACAAGACAAGCCTGGACATAACAAATAATCTTTTGTTGACTGTTGTTATGTTCTTAGCTTTCAAAATTAACCAACAAGAAAGTCAGTCTCCCCAACAACTGAAGCAAAGACATACATATAGATAATTAATTAAAGAGGCCGATCATGAGAATTGATACAAATTATACAAATTAAGTAATTGATCGATCTAGTAGACCACAACGCTTCCTTAGACCGATCGATAAATATCAAATCCATTACAATTATTACTGGCTTCACGACGACACACAATTTCATTTTATTAATTACTAGCTTGACGACTCAATTAATTTGAAACAAAGGCTACGGACTGCGTCGGCCTGCACAGTTCCTGCAAGATTATAGAATCATACAATATATATGTTGTTAGTCACCATTAATTCCCACACGTAGATAATTGTCTAGGAAAATAACTGTTAATTAACTTGACCAAGATTATATTTTGATCAGTGGTCGATCACCTTGAATATTGTGGTAGAGACGCATGCATATGATCAGTCGTGGATATGAGCACCGCTGATAATGCAAATGGCGTAGATGATGCCCGGAAGATAGCCGAGGCAGGTGAGGAGAAGGCAGATCCAGAACTCCTTCTGTACGTACATGTATGTAACACGCCGAATCAGGTCAGGACCCATCACAATACACATCATCAGATCATGCAGCTACGTCTATATATATGCATGCATGTGTGCATATATATGCACATCTTGATCATCTAGCGCGATTTAATTAGCTAATGTGCAAAGAAATAAACAATATTGCCAAAGATCAGATCAGAAAGATCGATCCCCTACCTTGCATCCGACGACGACGCCAATGGCGAAAGGAGGGAGGATGATGGAAAGCAAGATGTTGCAGAAGTTGGCCCCGACTTTGTGATCGTCGTCATGGTGATGGTGGTGGTGATGATGGTTAGTCATCGTGTGCAGGTGCAGCTCGTTAATAATCAGGGGCCGTTAATCGCCTCTCTAAGCTACTATAGCCCCCCTTAGCTTGCCGATCACACGCTGGCACAGGTGATACGTACGCGAAGGCGGCACAAGCAGGAGTGATATGACTGCTTCTACTGTGTGCTGCCAACGCCGATGACTTGAGTTGTATCATCAGCGCCTAGCCATACATATACAGCAGAGTCAATCGCCAGTCGTCAACGATTTCTTGTTAAGTTAAACCCAGGCCAATCATGTTTCGATTATGATCTAACATAATCCGGCGGCGTCGTCCACAGTTTTCTCGTTGGTCTGAAGCTAGGAGTAGACTGCACATGTACTGACAACCGTTACTCTCCTTGGCTACTGTACCAGGACTCAAACATGCCGTGTCCTGCTGCCATCTGCTTTCTCGGCTTTCGTGTGTACGCAGGTATCTCTGTCGTGTGTTTAACGTATAGCGGGTTGGTTTCTCTCTTTTTTTTTTCTTTTTTTTCTAGGATCAGACCTATCAACGTGTACCAACGCCACAAAGCAAGTCCAACCGTCAATCCAAATTAGACACTTCAAACACCCGTATAGCCAAGTTTCTAACGGATTTAGCAAGTTAAACTTGTTACTCACTCTAATGGCCTCTCTATTAACCTTCTCCAAAATAACAACTGGACCTGTATATCAGCCTCTACTCCCCTTCTACTTCCTCCCACTCCATTATCCAAGAAACCAACATCAAGAGGAGCTAGCACGATGGCAGCATCGTGCAAGGGCCAGAAGTGGGGATAGCGGCGCAGAGAGGAGCCGGAGATGGTGGGACTTTGGTTGGCGGCGAAAGTAAATGGAGATGGCACTGTGGTGGCCTTTGGAATCGGTGCTAAGGATTGGTGTCGGAGAGAGAGAGAGGCAGCGGAAATTGGCGGCACGGGCAAGGGCTAGGAGACAATGGCGAGGCGCAACGGCGGATGGTGGCAACACTTATCGATTTGTTTTTCGAAAGCGGATCGGATGGCGTCTGAGGCGAATGCCGCAACCGTGGTGGATGGTGCATCTCCAAACGACGACTCGGGAGAGAGACTGTGGGGACAGGAGAGAGATAGGGAGATACAGACATGGAGCGATGAAGCCAAGGCCAGCAACGGCGAGGCACACCTTCTTCCTGAGCTTCGGAGCAGTAGAGGAGGGTGCCGACCGACGGCGGTGAGGGCAAGTTAGGGTGGTCGTGGGGTCAAGAAGGTCGGGCACCCTGTCATCGGCCATGGCGACAGGTAGAGAAAAGAGATGGAGATGCGAAAGTGAGAGAGTGGAGAATGGCGATGAGAGAGATGGTAGCAGCTGACCAAATTTGGTTAAGTTGAGCGCATGTTTGGCGAGTAATATGGTCAGTATGATTGAGTGTATTTTTTATCCATAGTTGCTAAAGTTTTTTTTGCTTAGAGAGTGAAATAAAGAGACTATTGGTGACGCTTTAAATTAACACATGATATATAGTACCAATTCAGCTACCACATGATCTGCTTTTACGAAGGGGGTGTAACTCAAATGGATAGGTTTCTAGCTCGTTGTGAAACCTAAATTCATGGGCTCGTATTTGATTAATTATTTTTCAGTGGTAAACGATGTACCAGTAAACAAACGTAGCTCGTACATTGTACATATATATTTATTGGTACTCTACAATACAACCAAAGAGGCAATGAGGAATGTTGGCAGCGAGTCAGCGACTGGCCAGGCGTAGCAATCAGCAGATCAGAGCAAAGTCAACGTAACTCAAAATTACTACTAAGATCCTACTCCAGTATATATGTGAAGATGTCAATATACAGCTGGTACCCGTTTTCTGACGATGTACGAGAGATAAGAAAGTCGAAACCCAGCTACGTCGTCGGTACTAATTAGCGCGTGGGGCAACGTGAAAGTCACCGGCGCCACGTGAATTCACATTTGTTCGTTGCCACCGGCAATTTTTTAAGGAAGCCATCCCACTTTATTAATCTGCAAACATATAGTTACATCATTCGCTAGAACGTTGAGAAAAATATAGAGACCCCATCGACCCAACTATAAAAATTTTTCAACTTAGAAACATGATTAGCTAGAACATGTGCCATGCAATTAACTTCCCTATTACAATACTCAATCAATGGAGACTTTAACATAATCACATAAAAAAAGTATGGTATTTATAGAAAACCAACGCCGACGTTGTTCTTGAAAAACTTCCATCTTGCATCGTTGCCACCACCATTACTGTATCAGCAACATAAGGTAAGTATTTGCAACAACCAGCTACAAAATTTCCATGTGCATCTCATATGATCGACTACTCCGGTTCCTCCTATACTAGTGGTGGATCTAGAAAATTAATTCGTTAATGTCATAGCATGCAAATTATATTTAGACTATAGTGTTATAACATATGGATAAACAGTTTAACCATAAGTTTTACCGAAAGTCGTCAGTGTCGCTTGACATCGACGCTAACACTTTAGATCCGCCCTTGTTATGTACTCAAGACGATGTCAAAGTAAACATCTACATTTACCTTGAGGATTTCTTTAGGAGGTTTATGCTATCCTTTCCATGATTTTGCATCTGTTTTTTTCTTCGTCATCCTATAATTTAGTGTAAGAGCAATAATAAATATAGCTGATCTAGCAGCCACCTGAATCCTTTTACCGTTCACCACTTGCTTCTTTCCCACCAAAGAAATCATCCCCGATAAAACCAGTTCAGCAAAACCCACTTCATAATTATTTCTTTGCCGCCGGCTTTGCTTTGCGTTGGCTTTTGATAGCTTGTACTATTATTCTTCGTACGCTTCCCGGCCCAAAATCCCGCACAACTACACCCAGCAGCACGGCCCAGTGGCCCACCCATATTGATGGGCCGGTAGTAAGCCCCATCCAAACAAGTTGTGGGCCCTCATGTCCTACGGGCCTCGCGGACCCGGCCCGGCGGCTGGTCTACCCTCCACGCCGCCGGCCTGTCCGCCTACGCCGCTCTCATCTCCCTCTTCTCTCTCCTCCTCCCGGTGCGCTCCGTACTAACCATCCATGTCTCCGTCGTCTTCACCGCCGCCTGTGCTGGCCTCCTCCATATGTCCACGGTCTCCAGGTGCACGCCTGCGCCGGCAAGGTCGTCGTGCGGCCTGGGGATGTGTTCGTGACACGCCGGCCGATGTGGCTGGCGTGTGTATACGCCAAGTGCGGACACATGGTGGCCATGACGAAGGCGTTCGACGAAATGCCGCACCGGGGCGTGCCGTCCTGGAACGCGCTCATCGTGGGGCTACGCAAGGAACGGAAGGTTTCCTCAAGGCTCAAAGGGTGTTTCATGGAGTTGCGGCGCAGGGACAGGAAGTGCCGCTAATCGGTCAGGTGATAGTGCCAAGTGCACTGAGCGCAGGTCCGTACTTATATTACATCATCTAATTATAAGGTGGAACTGTAGGTGTGTGCGCTGTGCCTGAGCAACACGAACGCCCTTCTTGATATGCATACAAAATGCTGCTGCTAAGCGCTTCAAGGAAGCCTGTGTTGAGTTTCTTGAGTTGAGGCCCATGGTTCAGGGGTGGCGTGGCGTTTTGCCTGATGATATATCATTTGCCTACTTCATTGCAAGATTCAGCATGCCTAGCATCATATATTCTGGATGAACTTGTCAGAGTATAGGATGCTAGGTTTATGAGGCCTGAGAGATGCTGATGAACTTTTCAGGTAGGAAAGCTCGATAGGTGGTTAAGACTGAAAAGTGAGAACTTTAGAGAACAGAGAAGAGAGAGGTTAAACGTCCTTGCAAAAATTAAGCATCTTCTTCAGACTGAGGAATACAGAGGTGAATATCCTTGCTAAGGAATCTGTAGGAGATATGCTAGCACGAGCAGAACATATGCTGTGCTCTGCCTAATTTCTTTACTGATTTATGCAGACATGCTGATCAGCTGATGTACACCAGATCAGGATGATGGACAAGGAGAGCATCCTTCACAACACGAAGTCGTTATTTGGAGATTAATCTGACAGCCGTGTGGGTTGGGCCTAAAAAGGCTCACCTGCAGCATTCCAGGGCTGATTATAAAGTTTCTTCTTTGATCTTGTAGGTTTGGCAGAAATTGTGTTTTTGTGAATTGAAGTGTGACATCCATTGCTAGACTAATGTCACTAAAAATTTGTGTTTTCAGGCTTTCAACATTCAGTAGTGGAATCGTAGCAATTTGCTGAATCATCATCAAGCGAGAAAAAGCAATCTCTTGGGATAGGCTTGGAGAAAACTGACAATTATATATCCTAAGGCAATATCAAAAAGATCTACCATAATATTTCTGGTACTTTTCTTTTATGGAATGAATTCAGTTAGTTATCTTTGATTCATGCCTAGATTTCTCATACTAAAGTTTTCTAAATAATACTTTACCTTTGAAATGATGGTAGTTCTGTGTATTATCTTTTTAGAGAACATGAAGAATAAGATATTGATACCAAAATATTTCTTCCATACGTTTAAATTTTTTTTAAAGAACATGAAGAATATTGGATTCAGATTTTTGCAATTCTAATAAAAATTTTATTAAGTGCTCATAGAACATAAAAATTGCATTTTTAGCTGCGGGATGGGAGGAATATGTTAAAGGCCACAAAATTTGATTCCACTGAGGTAAAATGGAACCTTTGTGTTATCAACTTCTCTACTCTCTTTAACGAATACATGATATTTACAAACCAGTTAAAGAAGTAGAGGAAAAATAATAATCAGTTCTGCTATACGGTAGGTAGCTGATAATGCTACACTTCTTTACTATAATGTACACTGCTAGTAAGTATAATCTCAGCTTCAGCAAAAATCTTTTTCAACTAACCTACATATAATAAGGGCCCTCCCTCCAATGGGAAAAAAAAAAGAAGAAACAAAGAGAAATTCAAATGCAACTGTTTTAGCATTTATCCATCCTTGCAATCCTGAGCTTCTTTACGCTGCTCAGGAAGAGTCTGTAAAAACAATAAAAAAATGAGTAATAAGTTAAATCAGAAGTAGAATGAAACGCAAATGGATCAGTTAAATATGTTAGGATACGTACTCCCATGGGACGTCCCCAACCATCATCCAGTCCCCGTCCTGGTCTTCATAGGTGAGGACATGGGCAGCCTTCTGGCCAGGAACTTGTTGATGGCACTCCATAACATCAGCATCTAATCATATCAAACATATATGATTATATACAACACCCGACAACCATCGCCATGTGTATATCATGACGAGGTGAGATTGGACCACATGAAAATTGAATTAATATCTATCGATCGATTTCGACTCGACGTGCCAAACAAGAACTCTTGAAACAAAAGCTTTCAGACTCATCCGTTGGTGGCCTGTCAAATTGCTCTAGCAAAATGGTACTAGTTGCTAATACTACTCGCTGCCGCGCGCGCTCAAGAAATACAATTTTGGATGATATATTGTATTGTTCTCCAATGCTGAACTGTTCATTCATATTTACTAAACTAATTCTCTCTTTCTCATGTTTTATACAATCTTCTAACCCTTCGAAATTGTAGTGAAATGCAGATTAATTGGTTGGTTGCATACTTACAGGTGATGGGCGTCTTGAACATGTGGCAGAGCTTGATGAGGAGGCTGTCATACCCATCCAGCAAGAGCAGGTCGAGCTTCCGGCCGATCGGGACGCCCTCCATGTACACCTTCACGAACAGCGTTCGCCGTCGGCGAGCGCCGCCGCCGCCAGCGGCCGACGCCTTCTGCAAGGCGCTCCTGAGGAACGGCTTGATCGGCGGCCAATCGGCGTGCACTTGGCTGTTCCTGCATACGCCGCGATCACCGGGCGCCCATTCATGTTGAAAGGTCTGTTAATTAATCAACTAATTGATGGAGATGATGGGTACAAGCGACCCAATTGGCCAATGGGATGGAGTACTGTTGCGCAATTAATTTTCGGGTGCACTGTATCTCCAAGAAACAGTAATGGCAACAGGAATCTTGAAGTGGTTTTGTAGAGACAGGAATAATCGAATTGGTCTACAAGTTTGGCTCATGTGAGAAATCTGACTGTAGCTGTTGATGTGTGTATTTGTACTGATGATGATCAAGTCCCTTATCAGAAATAAAAGCGTACGATGGGTCATTGACATATCAACAGATTGGTGCGTGTGATAGAACGGTTTGTCTCATTGTCTGATCTAATTAAACTGCAGTGAACTTGAAGCATTTCTCTTATTTTCTTTTATGTAGATTACAAGTTTTGGTTTGTACTATAGTAGTCTAGGTAAATATGCAGCTATGCACTGTCGAAATGATCGATGCAAGTGATCAAGATCTACTTATGTGAAGGGATAAGCGAGAAAGCGCATAGTAAGATCTGAAAGATTTACATATGCATGTGGGAACAGTTTGATCAAATCAATCGTGTGTTTCACAACAGGTAAAAACTCAGATAAAGTTTTTTTTTCCCTTAAACTTAAAAAACTTACATAAGCCCCATCAGACTACATATACATGAGAAGCATGCACGATGGATTCGTATAAAGAAACGGAGATTTTTCCCTAAAACAAAACAAGATCGATAGATAGAAGAACATAGAACATCAAAAACTAGTATAATTACATATCGGAGTATGTATATATGTTCGAATATATTTTAAATGAAGAACAAAGCTATATGTGTTTCAATATTGAATCGAAAGAAGAAACGAAACAAAACTTATCAAACTAAACAGCATGAATCTTTGTAGCTAGGGAGAGGTAATTAATCAAAAAGCAGGCTTCGCGGCAAGAAACTAAGAAAGAAAGAAATCTAATAACCTTGGAGTAGAAGGGATGCTATCATCAGCAGCGGCGGCGGCGGCGGCGGCCTGCAGGAGGGAGGACGACGACGACGTCGAGAGGCTAAGCCCTAGCCGGAGATCGGTGCTGAGGTCCCGCCTCGCCGTCGCCGCCGACGACGTCGTGGACAGCGCCGGGTGGGTGCTGCTATCCATGGAGGAGGACGGCGACATGCCACCGCCCTTGCACTCCTCCATAGCTACGAATGCTTACGTAGAAATTAATGGAGAGATCGAGAGAGAGAGAGAGATGGATCGAGTTGAGAAAAAAACAAGCAAGGAAAGAGAGCAGCTAGCTTGTGATGTGTATATATAGCTGGAGGTGAGCACTAGCTAGAAAAAGCCAAACTATGCTGAACTAAAAATTTGTGCGCATGGTAGAGAGAGAGAGGATTAATTAAAGCTAAAGAGGGAGGCATTAATCAATCTGATTAGATAGATTAATTAAGTAGTTAAAAGAACGGTGGAACAATTTGGCTTGCTTTATGCAAGCGTTTTTGTTCTCAATTAAAAATAGGCTGATTCTTTCCTGTGCTTGATATCTAGGTGGACACAACTGGTTAGCCACAGAGAACTAGGATATACACACACATACAACATATATATTCACTATCAAAGTCTTTTTCTTTTTCTTAACAAATCCAGTTCCACAATCCACAAACAATGGTTTAATTAATTAACAACTTATCAGATTCCATTATCACTAATCCTAAGCGCACGTAGTTAGTTTGTGTGATATATAGGTTACTCTAATTGCACTAGCTAGACATGACATAAAGGTTAGCGATTAATTAAGATCGATTAAGGTGTGGGAGCAGTGCAATTAGTGTTAAGCATAAACTAATCGATCGCCCAATAGATTGCCACCCATGACAGCGGACGTGTTTGGTTGGTACGGGACGCACTCGAGTGCAGCGGATGTGACCACCACCACCACCACCACAACCAAAATCTCCCTGTGTGAGCCCCTCTCCCGCTTGTACACCAAGCTTTGGTTATTTAGATTGCTTGCTTGCTCCTCTTGTGTGATCGATCATGGATACGATGCCAAACAGCCATCAATCATGTGTGCACGCTCGGAATAAATGAAGCTAACCAACAGTGTACGTTCGTCCGTCAGATCAATCCACATATATATATATATATATATATATATATATATATATATATATATATATATATATATATATATATATATATATATACACACACACACACACACCTGACGAATGATCGATCGGACCCGTTCGTCACGTGATCGACGGTTCGCATGGATAATCGATTATCCAGTGCGGACCACGTAACACGGTTGGGCCACCCGCACATAAAAATGTTGATTTTCGCAGACACCTGGCGCAGATGGACTGGACCTCCGCACGGGAAAATCCATTTTGACCGAACGGAAAAATCGAATATGTAGTAGTGGTGGTATGATGCAGTTAGAAAGGAGTACCTTAGAGTAACTTTAGATAAACATTTCACAATACTACAATAATAGCAAACTATTTTTTTTAAAAAAAAACATAACCTTATCTCACTTATGTGATATGTGTTTGACATGTAAGGGGCTCATGTTATACACTTGTGAGTATTTACATGTGCGTTCAAGGATGGACCCAACCTATGCAAACTTGTGAGTATTTACATATGTTTCGAGGATGGACCTAACCTATCCAACAAAGTTTGCAGTTCTCTTATAAAATTATTAGCTATCATTATACGTTACTTTTGCACAATATGCGCTAAAGTTATAACAAATTGACAGTTTTGAAGAAATATATGCAGTTTTATGAATTTTACCTCATAATAAAAAAATAAACATTTGAAAAGTTGTTGAAGATGAAGTTGTAATTGAAACTTATCCGGCCTAAACATGAGGAAATAGGTACTTACGGAGGGAGCAGTTAGGCTAGCGGCGTGTGTAGTCGTACTCTACGTACGTACGTTCGTGGTTGGGTAAATGCATGCGCGGGCGGGCGGGCGGGCGGTAGCGGGGGGGGGAGATGAGGGGGACGTGGTTGACACAGCGGCAGCGCCTTGCCGCGGCAGGGGGACACACGCAGGCGACACGGGAGGGGACAACCCCGTGCTCGCTGAAAGCGATGCTCTTATAGCTCTTTGACACCGACGACCCAGCCACATCGTCTTCTCATTTTTTTTTCCTCGCCGCACTCACGCACATCGTCCATCTCGCGATCGCGATCGCGATCGCGTTTTCCGCTACGGCCAGCTATATAACGCGAGGGTGCAGTACGGGCGTACGTCGTGTCATTCAGGGTACTACTACTAGTACTAGTAGTAGACTAGAAGCCACTAGCCACCCCCCGGGTGATGGACGATAGATTGATCTGATGTGCATGCCCGTTCCAGCACGTAACCGCGATGGGTCGTTATATCGATCGGAGCTTCAAGTCGTTCATCGGTATGCATGATGATCTCTAGTTTTGCGATCGACACGGAGAGGGGCGGGGGCGGCCGGTCGGTCGGTCAGACAGTACAGGGAGAGGGGGCCGGCCGCGCGCGGGTCGCGTCCATCACATCTCGGTCGCCGGGGGTCGTTTTCTCGTCGAATATATGTCCAATTTCGCCAACCAAATTGCCGCCTAGCTCGTGACCGCGACGCAGCTAAGCTAGCCCCTTCTTCGATTACTTTTTTCTACGCCCGTTTCGCACGAGCTATAGACCTATAGTGAAGATCTAGGATGTTAGGACTTGTTAAAGTTTGCTGTCAAAATCAACCACACTAAACTTTTTCGGATTTGCTGAAAAAGTGTCGCCACATTATGTGGCTGAGTACAGTCGAATTTTAACGGCTGGGATGCGCTGCGCTGGACATCGTGTGCACGATGCATATCCGTTTCTCCACCTGTTTATCCCTTTGCAATTTTTTTACTTTATTTGTTGATCCGGAATTGCTATGGTTTTGTAGCAGTCAATTTTGTTGTTGTAATTATGTTTTTATACAAATTTAAATACTAGTTACACCCCACTTACACATCACTTACATATGTAATTTTGGGATTTACATATGTAATTTTAAGACCTAGATATGTAATTATATGTAATTTTAGGACTTACACTATAAATATACTAAAATTACATATGTAATTTAGAGATTTACAATGTAAATACATACCGACTATTTTTTGATGAAAAATATGACGCCATAAATATAGCTAGTCCCAACTTTTTTTAATTACACTGCAGACACATAGGCGCACACATCACTACACACACAACACCACACTCACACACCCGTAAATGCGTCCCCTGACACATGCTCTAAGAAACAGAAACAAGCACATTTCCCTGATTTCACTAAAGTCTTGTTGAAAGTCCACCTACATGTGGAAAAATCAACCATACTAATTTTTGGTATTGTTAAAAGCAATAAACTAAAATGAGAGAGTACGAATCACCCCCTAAACTATCACGGCCGATCGAATTATCCCATAAACTCAAATAACAGACATTTTACACCCTCGTCTATTCATATCGGAAAAATAACCACCCTTAACATTGTTCTGAGCGATTTTCACTTGAGCTTCCACACGTAGCCAACGTAGTAATCTAGTCAGCAAAGAAAATAAATAACCTCTCTGGACCTACCCGTCATCCCTCTCCCTCAACAAAATCCCTCTCCAATCCCCCTACTCTCTCTCTCTCTCTCTCTCTCTCTCGGGTGACCAACGACGGAGGCAGAGCTTGCTCGAGTAGCCGGCGGTGGAGATAGAGGCGGAGGCATAGCGAACTCGGGCGGCTGGCGAAGGAGGCAGAGCTCGCTCGGGTGGAGTTCTGATGTCGCCCTTGGCTCCCCCTCCGCCGCTCCCAGCTAGCTCCACCCTCTAGAATTTGTGATATACTAACATGACTGCTTATCCTAAACATGATCACCCTACTGCGGAATTCTTAGGGTTACTGACCGTTGTTTGAAGCCATTGATGTGCTTCTCCTTGTTCCCTCTGCAATGCCGTCAGTCAAAGTGGAAGTAGAGGACGAAGTCCTTCGAACTGCTCCAGTGATCGTCGGCGTAGCGGAAGTAGTCGTAGCAGCTTGATCCCGAAGGGGTTGCCGGCGATCACTTGTGGGGTAGCAGCGGCCTTCCGGTCACCATCTACGCTGTCCCGGAACAGCCGCACGTTCTCCCTCCAATGCTCAACTGATCGGATAGGGTTTTAGGTTTTTCGAGAAGATGTTCGTGGAGAGATCGTCATCTTTCCACGAAACTGGTCTCCCCTATTAATATGGCACTGAGGGAGTCGGGGGCAATCCAAAACATGGAAAGATTTAGTGCTACCGATCAATGCACGTAATCACGTAATTATGGAAATAATCACAAATTAATCGCGTTAATCCCACAGGTAGCGGGTGGAAAACAATCGTGTGGGATTTCCTCTCGATTTCCATGCCAAGACATAAAATTTCCCAACACGCCCCTGCTCGCCACCTTCCTCAGCTCCCCCTCCGCCACCGCCCGCCGCCGTCCTCGGCTCCCCCTCCATCGCCACACAGCTACCTCCGTCCCCTCCTACCGCCGTCCTCAGTGCCAGTGAGTGATGGAGGTTAGGGGAGGGAGAAGAGATAAAGGGGATTGGGGAAAGAAATAAAATAGGTAGAGATAAAGAGGGTGAGAAACTGACAGGTGAGGGCAGCCGATTTTTTTTTTTAAAAAAAATGTTGACTGGACTGCCTCGTAGGACCAAAACTACCGCAGATTGAGCCATGAGGATTATTTGTCTGTTTGCATAGTTGATTGTAAAGGATGTCTGGTTTTGTGGTTCAGGAGCTAATTCGTACTTTTTCCTAAACTAAATGATATTTTACCATCACAATCTTGTCAATTCCTACTAACATTTTGTAATTTTAGAAACTTCTACTCACAGAATTATATCAAAAATTGCACCACTACCAATGGCAAGGTGTCAAACTAAACACTACCTTCACATCTTTATTTTTTTTTTCAAAATTTTAACATTATTAAATTTGGCATACGAACGAATGGTAAGTTTTTTTTTTTTGGGCAATGAACTGAGCAAGCCCTTAACTAGCTTGCTAATAGCTAGCCATCTGCCATTGTCGCAGCCCGGCCAGGCCCCGGTCGCGGATCAATCGATGGATGATACATATATACTTCTATACTTCTCGATGGTACAAGGACGAAAGCAACTACGCAAGCGAGCACTACGTATACGTACTTGTGCAAAATTAATCCATGACATCAACTAGCACGATATACAAGTAACCTATAGGCTGTAATATTAAATTATTTCAGCATATATATAGTATCAACATGTTGGTTAATAAATTAGTTT